ATAATGTTGACAAAGACATCTTTGAAAATAGATATAAGTCTATGCCCAAGACAGGCTGTAGTACTGAAGTCCTTAAGAATTTGAAAAAAAAAATGATTTGATTGTTAATGAAAGGCAGACATACAAAAAAAAAATGAATAAATATCTGAATGTTGTAAACAAACTCCTTTTACCATTCACTTCCTTTCACTGCACTTCCTTAACTGATTTTAGAGATGCCAGGAAAGGTTTCTGCTCAATGATTCATCCTGGGCATTTATTTTACATCCTGAACAAGTAAAATTTAATTTCTCTACTTAAATCAAAAGCGCACTTATAAGTTCTTCCCGTACAATCGCTTACTCATTTCTATAAAGAATGGGAAGTAGTGAAATCAATTCCTGGTGGCAATGTAAAACATTCCTCTCTTTCTCTCTCTCTAAAACAAGCCCCCTAACCAGAGTTTTTATGAGTGTAGGGGGTGCAGTCTTTAAGTCAGGAGAGTTTGTGAGTAAGAATTTTAAAACTAAAACTATTGGGTTGGAACAAAAGTTCATAAATTTTTTTTTAAGTGAACCTCAAAGACAGTATTTGAATATTTCTAGATCGATTTATTCAATCTCATATATGCCATTTTGTTCCACTAGCTTTTGCCATCAGATTCCTGATTCCATCCACTCAGACCATGGCTTTTTTAGGTATGATGAACTGTTTTTTACAGGCTTACAGAGAATTGCAAGTTCTTACCATTAAGAGACATAGGTATTTGGTGCTTCTGTTATGTATCTAGAGATTCTTGATAAAATACAAAGAAGAATTTGCAACATTATTGGTTCTGACATGGTAACTTGTCTTTAGTCACTTTTCTACCACGTAGGGTTAGAGTTAGAGGATTACTGTTAGAGTTAGGTTTATGAGTTAGGGTTAGGGGTAGTGTAGGTTAGGGTAGCTTCCCTGTGTCTTTTCTATAAATATTTTCATGGTAACTGTTCTGATGAACTTATCTCTATGGTACCTAGACTTTATGAATTTAAGTACAGTACTAGATTGGCAGCTAGGTCTCATCATTTTATAATAGAAATAGCTAAATGTAACCATAAATTCAATGCTAACAGTTTCTCTTCTCACACTTCTCACTTTTGGAACTCACTTCCAGATTATTGCTTTCCAGTCAACTTTGATTTTCAAAAATTTAAATGCACCGTCAAACAATATCTTCTGTCATCTTAATTCATTTCATTTTATTGCTCTCTCTCTCCTTAATAATGTTTTCTTTTTCTCATATTCTCTCCCACTTAGTAACTCCTTCTTAGTGACTTTATTGCCTTGCTTGAAGTGAAATTATTAGAAAAAGAAAAAGCAAAATAGGTATCAAAGTAAGTAGCAATCCAAAGGTGCAAGAACAGGTGAGTATGGTGGGTCTAGTAAGAATATCCCAGCCAAGTTGTACCAATTTCTGCCAGGTATGTAAAGAGAAGTGATGCTGGTTTTGTCCTGATGGAAGACAACATCTTTCTGATGGACCATTCCCAGACATTTTTCATTGATTGCTGCTTCTAATCGGTCTAATTGGGAACTCTTGTAACCTAGAAAAGGTTACTGAATGAAGAATAACCAAAATGGAGGTTGGAAATGAAATGGTAATCTTTATAACAACAACAAAATACAATACTTGCCAGTAGCATGAAGTAGGTAAATCACTGCTAGTGGTGGACTACTTAGCATATTACTTCAACTTATAATAGTGTCCAACATATTTATGAGGATTGGGACATACCCATTAGTGTTCATAGGTATGGTATATAACAAGAACTATACTTATCTCATATTCACTCACACTCAGTAACCTCATGTATCTTAGTAACTTTATTGCCTTATTTGGGGTGAAATGATTAAAAGATGTATCAAAAGTTCAAATTTGCAAAAATAGGCTTTATTTTATTTTTCATATGATCTTTTAAAACAATTATTTCTGAATCCTCTGCACTGTCCTTAGATTGACACCCAAACACTCTGAAATGTTCATATTGGAGCTTCTGGCACAAATGCCAAGCAGTACAACATGCTGTTTCGAAATTTCTGGTGGAGTGAATTGTATCATGGTGCTCTTTTTCTTACAGACAGCACCCAACTGACCCTACTATACAGTGCAGTCAACAAAATCAAAACAAACAATGCATATGCATATCAAAAATATAAAATGGTGACAATTTAACCATCACACCCTCTATTACAGACAGATTTTGCTTTACAAAAGAATGGAGAATATTATCAAAAGCCCTGACACTCATATTTAAAAAAAAAAAAAAAAATGTCTCCATGCATCGAGCTGTGAACCATTTTCAAGGTTTCTTAGTCATGGAATTTTTTTTTTTTAATTTTAAAGTTTTAAATATCTGCACCCGCATACCTGTTAAGTATATGCAAACATTTAACAAGGCAATTTTAGATGACAGAACACCATGAGTCAGTAACAGGTTAGTTGCACTGACACTGCTGCAATGTTCAACCTGTCCCAGCCAGCTGTTGTGTTTTTGTTGATTGTCTGATATTTGTCTATACTCAAAATACTCAACAAATAGTATAAAAACACACACTTGCAAAGTGATAGTTACACCTTGTGGATTGAAAGCCACTGTTAAAAAAAGACTAACAACAAAGTTTAAAACAAGCAATTACATTTGAAATAATTTAGTATAACAGATTAGAGGTTGAAGTCACTGCTTCTTATGCTATTAAAAACAACAATTCTTTGTCTTTTATGGGCCACGTCCCTTCAGGACTTCAGGTGATCATTTCTCTCCACACCTTCCTGTCCTTTGTCACTAAGTAATGTTTGTCTGCTTACTCTTCCTACCAGTACCTCTTCTGTCATCCATTTATATAAGCTTGTTAAGTAGATTACTAGCTGTTTCACTCTAACTTCTAGACTTTAATATACCTTATGAGTGTCAAATTTTTCAAGTGCTCTTTCCTCATTTTGTGTCTCATAAATTTCAACTGACTCTTCTTGATTCTGAATGCAAGTGTCAAGTTTTGTTTCTATTTTCCTTAAAACTTTTTGGTTGATCCATGGCAGTGTTTCACAACCTTTTTTTTTTTTTTTTTTACTTCAGGGCGCATTTGTAGAATAAATAAAACTCTGAGGTGTACTTACAGTTTTAATAAGGAAAAATTAGTCATAAAATTTGAAAATAGGAAAATAAAAAAAAAGTCTCCTGAAATAAGCATTTATTTTTATGACGTTACATTGTATATTTAAGTATGCTTGTGGGAAAACTGTGCTTGATGTGTTTTGGTTACTTTTCAAATGATAGGACTTAAATGTTATACCTTGAGGAAAGCAAAGAAAAAAGGCTTATCCCCTCCTTTTTAAAGATTAAGGAATTTAACATCTAGTTTAAAATATCAAATGACAAAAACTTGACTTAAACATGGAAGTCCTGTGCTTGGTGTCTCTAGCTTTTTTATAAATATAGATTTTTTAAATATAAAAATAAATTCATAAATTGCTCTTCTGTTAACTTGAGGCATACCTGACTACCTTTCAGGGCATATCTGTGTGCCTGGGTGCACTGGTTGAGAAATGCTGATCCATGGTATTCTCAGCATGCTTCTGTAGAACCACATCTATTTTGCCTCATGTTCTAGCTTTATGAATGAAATCTGGAAAATGATGGATGCTTGTTTTGTATATTTAGAAATTTTTATAGGCTTCTCCATTATAAATAAAGTGGTGCTGAATCATTTTCCAAAATCTACCTCTGATCAGTCAGTTATGTGCCATGCGTGATACATGCTTAGTCATTTTGATACATGATTGACAAGGCAGATTTTTCTCTGCAGTAGGTTACCATTTCTTTCTGCAGTAGACCAGTAGGTTACCATTTCTTTCTGCAGTAGACCAGTTGCCCCCCAAGGCTATTTTATCCATAGCTGAGGGGAGAAGAAGAACATTCATACCTTTCCCAAGGGTATTAGCACGTAAGTGAATGTAATGGATTCAACTGGAATTTGAACTCAGCTCTCCGATTCCTCAATCCGAGCAGCTATCCATTGCTCCACCATGCTTCTTCTAGATACAGTCTCTAATACAGCCAAGAATATTTTAACACCTATGCTTTGCTAGTTATCTCATTTTAATCCAGGAGGTTGAATTTTTAAGACTGTTGTCCTCATCTTTATTGTCATGTTCATGGCGTACACTGATTGGAATTTCGAACTGAACTTTTTATTTCATCCACCTTAGATTGTTCTAATGTGCCATGGGTCTAGCCAGGTATTGAACCTAGCTAGACTAGTCGCTGGGTCCAACCAATGCATAGATCCACTGGGCCATGTGTCCTTGGGGACATCAGGGTTTGAATTTTTGGGATTGTAAACTTAATGTCTCAGTTACTATTTTTTTTACCAGAACTCATATTGCAATTTTGCTGTTATTATTGCTTTTCTCTAGCACTTCATATTACTGGATCCCATATTGTATTCATTTTTATGCTTGTGTAATTGCGTAGAAGAAAAACAAGTGTTAGGACAAAGGGGAAAAAATTTTCTGTGTGATGCATTTTGTCTTTTAAGACTTCATTGGATTAAAGTGATATTTACATTTGATGCAACTACAGAGGCATACAAATTGGAATGGTTACCGAAATTTTAAACTAGTAAATTAAAATTATTCTTTAATATATGTTTGGGTATATAGTCTAGCTGTTTTCATCTTGTTTCTTTTTCTATTTTTTATGTTTTTATCACTTTTGTTATTAACAATACCACATTATGATAAAAGAAATGAAATATTATAAGAAACTGGATTCAAATTTATGTGGATGATCTAGTGATTAAAGCACTTTCTATACATTTCATCTTAGAAAATTGCTTTCACTTTTAATTAGAATAGTATTTATTAAAATTATGACTGGACTCATTATAGTTAGCAGCTAATGTGCTGAGTACATTGTTTTGTAAAAGATTCCTTTTGTGTTCATATAATCTTTTATTTAAATTTCTTGAAGTTTCAGCTTACAGCCACATCACATTGAAACACTGGTTCCCGTACAATCACTCAAGTTAAGTAATGTCGAACCTGGTCAGTATCTAGATGGGTAACTGCTTGGGAATACCAGGTGTTGTAAGCTTGGATGTACAGGTGGTAGAATGGATAATGGCTCAGAATTGTTAATCAGAGACCCAAGTTCCAATTCCAGTTGGGTTTGTTATATTCACTTATGTGCAAATACCTTGGGAAAAGTATGAATCCACCTTTTCTCCTCCCAACTATGGGTTAATTAGTAAGGCTTGTATCGCTAAAACCATTATTATTTCTTCCACCAAAACTAATTGCATGCAAAATATTTATATTTCAACATTAAATAACCCATAGAGGTTGATATATCGCTAAACAAAGACAACTAACTTTCTGGTTACTATGGTTACTTCTGGTTGCTATGTGTTCCTGATAGCAATTATTGCAATTGATAGAGTAAATTCTTCCTTTGACTTTTAACTTATTGTTATTTTGTTTTGTTATTTTCGTTTTTGTATTAAGTCTTTTATTGTTTTGGAAGTAATTATAATAAATTTTATATTAGATTTAGATAAATTCTTTTTAATTGTTGTTGTAATCAAGTAATTTGTAAGTTTGTATTTTCATTATTGTTATATTATATGCTTTTAGTTTTTAAAAGAAAAAAAATAAGCTCTGCATCTACATTTTTGACTCATGTGCAAACTGGATCTGGATCTTTTTAACATGATTGCAAACTATATATATATATATATATATATATATATATATATATATATATATATATATATATATATATATATATATATATATATATATATATATATATATATATATATATATATATATATATATATATATATATATATATATATATATATATATATACATATATATATATATATATATATATATATATATATATATATATATATATATATATATATATATATATATATATATATATATATATATATATATATATATATATATATATATATATATATATATATATATATATATATATATATATATATATATATACATATATATATATATATATATATATATATATATATATATATATATATATATATATATATATATATATATATATATATATATATATATATATATATATATATATATATACATATATATATATATATATATATATATATATATATATATATATATATATATATATATATATACATATATATATATATATATATATATGTATATACATATATATATATATATATATATATATATATATATATATATATATATATATATATATCGCGAGTTACAATCATATATATTTTAAATAAATTTTTAAATAAATATATATATATATATATATATATATATATATATATATATATATATATATATATATATGTATGTATATATATCTTTTGACCCAAGTGTGAAGCAGGCTTGAGTCAAGCTTTTTTAATACTATTGCAAATTGGATATGTGTTTACCTTTTTAACTTGAATGAAAACTAGACCTGTGTTGATCTGGTTATTAAGTCATTGTGATTTTTTCTATAAAACTTGTATTTGATATTAAAGAACACAACAAGGTATAGCAATGTTACAAGAATGTGGATTTTAGAAGTTGATGAGGATTCAGTAAAGTATTGAACAAAAATAATTTTTTAAGGAAATCGAATCAGATAAAAATTGTTTTTCACACAGAAAAATGACAAGTAGAAAAAAAGAACAATGGAATTGGAAACTGGGTTAAGAAAAATATATATAAATTATAAAAAAAGTGTTTGATAAAGTACATAAGAAATAATTTTTTGACTTGTGAGGTAGGCATGAGTTTTTATATTAGAATAATCCAGAAAATATATTAAAAGCAAACTACCTGCATACATATAGAAAATAAATTCAGCAAATATACAAAAATAGAAAAGATGTCTTTTCACCAGACTTATTCCACCTTTATAGTTAGGTGATTCTGAGAGAATCAGAAGCCCAATCAGGATTCATTATTGGCAGATACAATCTTAACAATATAAGATACACAAATGACACTATGTTGATAGCAAGCACAGAAGGTAAACTAGAGGCACCCCTACAGAAGGTAGTAAAGGAAAGCAAGAAGAAAGGACTAAACATCAATTGTAAGAAAACAGAATCTATAGTAGTTATCAAAAGAAACAGCCCCAAATTTGAACTTGTACTGATGACATCAATATCAAGCAAGTACAAAAGTTTAAATATCTAGTAAATGTTTTAACAGAGGATGGAAAATGTGACACCGAAATCTAAAGGTGCATTTGGATAACAAAAGATTCTTTCCAAAAGCTAAGCGAAGTATTAAGATACAGGAAAATTTCACTGGAAACAAAGAAATAGTACTGAACACTTATGCATATATATATATATATATATATATATATAGTCATCCACAGACAGACTGTTTCACTGTATCACAGCTCTTCAGCGTGGCTAGAAGTCTGATTGCTTTAAGCCTGGATTGAAACACAACTGATTTGGTATCAGTCAAATATCTTACCTCTAGGCCATCGTCACATGGCAGAAAGGAAGGGAATTTTAATATTTTTCTCTATACGAAATACGCCAGCAGCAGCTCGAAGAAACTCAATTCCTACTTGAAGAGTAATGTTCAAAAGCAGTATGATCCGCTGTTTTTGAAACCCCTTTTCCCTAGAGAGCTCAACTGGATTTCCGGGAGCATATGTAGTGATCCACAGACAGACTGTTTCACTGTATCACAGCTCCTCAGTGTGGCTAGATGTCCACTTACTTCAAGCCATATATATATATATATATATATATATATATATATATTAAGAAATGGACAAAGTCCGACAATTTATTTTTATTAAAGACATTTTTATGTTTAACGTTCTTTTTATAGATATAAAGTATTTAAGTAAATGCTCTGTTTATAATAAACAGTATTAAATAACATTTACGGCCTGAATGTCCAAGAAATTTTCATAGAAAATATTCGTCCTTTGACAGGATTGAACCTGCATCCTATCTGGAACCGTCATTTACGATTGACGTGCCTTACCAATCGGCCAAAAGGAGCGTTCGGTAGGCAAGGTCGAATTTACTGCTTATAAACTTCAATCTTCCATGAATCTCGTACATTCATAACTGCTCTGGCGTATCAAATGTAAACAAATGACGTCATATATTAAGAAATGGACAAAGTCCGACAATTTATTTTTATTAAAGACATTTTTATGTTTAACGTTCTTTTTTATAGATACAAGTATTTAAGTAAATGCTCTTTTTATATATATATATATATGTATAGGTCCTCCTATATGGCAGTGAATGCAGAACAATCTCCTCACAGATAAAAAAGAGACTTGAAGCAACAGAAATGTGGTTCTACAGAAAGAAGCATTTTGACAAAATTTCTAAAAGCTACAAGGGACAGGAAGTTTTGGAGGACCATGATTACCCACATCTTGAATTAACACAGCACAGAGGAGGAGAGATTACCAAATACCTCCCCTCTACAATTGGTAAATTATAACACTGAATCACAACAACCATATCCAGTATTTAAAAACTGGCTTATGGCCACATCATGTTAAAATTCTGGTTCCTGTATGATCACTGAAGTTAAGCAATGTTGAGCCAGATCAGTAGCTAGATGGGTGACTGCTTGGGAATACCAGGTGCTGTAAGCTTGGATGTCTGAATGGTGTAATGGATAATGTCTCAAAATTGTTACTTGGAGAACAGAGTTTTAGTTGCCATACCCGTTGGGTTTGTTATATTCACTTACACACACATAACCTTGGGAAAGTTATGAATCAACCTCTTCTCCCCTCCAGCTATGGGTTAATTAGTAAGTATTGTATCACTAAACCATTATTATCTCAAAAAAATTCTTACAATTTAAAAATATTTTATGGCTTTAAATAACCTGCAGAAAGTTGATAAGCCATAGAAAAAAGCAATCAATCAATGAAATACTGATTAGCTACACAGGCATATCTTTTAGATTTGTTTACATTCTCTAAAATATAAATATATAGAAACTACCGTGATCAAAAAGTGATGGATCAGTTTATATATTGATTTTAATATAGAATTGATCCCCCACTTTATATTCACATTATAATTTCTTGTTTGTCAAATTCTGATTAGGTATGAATCTACTTCTTCTCTCTCCAGCTATGGGTTAATTAGTATGACTTGTATCACTAAACCATTATTATCTAAAAAAAAATTCTTCAATCTAAAAATATTTTCTTCAATCTAAAAATATTTTCTGGCTTTGAATAACCTGCAAAGGGTTGATAAACCATAGAAAATGAATTAACCAACCAAGTTCTTAAAAAAATTACATTAGCAAGGAAATGGTAATATCTGGAATAGGCATTTTAAATATGTAAATCTTGATGATTTTAATGCAGTGAACTATTTTTATATTTTCCACCATTTAATTAGTGGACATGGGTCATCGTCAGGTAACACATGGGCATTGATTAAGCGGAATTGAATTCAGCATTTGGGCAAGTGGAGTAGAGAAAGGAGAAAAATTGTGCTGAATCAATTTTTTAAAGTCGGATGGGATAGGGTCTGCTTGCCTTGAAAGAGAAAATAAGTTTTAAAGTTCAATGTCTAAAATACTGGAGTTGACCACTAACCTGTGGTGTTGGGAGGAAACTCACAACCTTATCAGTTTTTAAATAATCATCATTAAATAATCATTGCTGATTGGACCCAGAACTATCACCAATCATGATAAACAGATGTTCCCTCAGAGAGGCCCCATGCCTCGAGCACCAATTACGACTTGAATTCAACCCAGACCTCAAGAGGAACTTACACATAGGATCCATTGCTAGAGGCAGGAAAAATAGTTGTTTCTTGTACTGCTTCAGTAAGTACCTGACTCCATGCACTATCCTCTACCTTTACAAGAGCCAGATCAGGTTGAAAATGGGGTACTACTACAGGAGCTGCCCAGTCTTCAATTTCCAGAGTTGAAAAGCATCTCTGTTTTTTGTGGGTGATGAATTATTTTCCATCCTACAACCTCTTCCTCACAGGCTGAATGTTGCAAGCCTCTCACTACTTTATCACTACCTCCATAGAAA